GGCCCGAACCCGAACTCCAATCCCATCGTCGGCTGCCGCACCCACTACTGCCCGTACCCCAACCCCAACTCCACCGCCCGTTGCCGCACCCACTCCTATGTCCCGAACCCTAACCCCAACTCCACCGCCGGCTGCCGCATCAGCTCCTCCTGCCCGAACCCCAACGCCAACCCCACCACCTGCTGCCGCGCCTGCTCCTCGGCCTCGAACCCCAGCTCCAACCCCTCCCTCTGCCTGGACCCCAACTGCGACCCCGCTCACGTCCTCGACCCCATCGTCCGCACTGAGTGCGCAGCTGCGTCCGGTGGATGCGTTCCTGCGGCGACTCGGGCTTCGTGTACGGCCAGAGTGGCTTCAACAGTGTGCTGCCGGGTTGCCTGGGTTCAACGGCCATGGCGGCACTGAAGTGCAGGCTAGACAGTGTTTTGAGCAGCTCCTCTTTGCCGACATGAACGAATGCGGCGCTGGTGTGCTTCCGGAGGGCGTCGGGTCTATGGAGTCCGCCATCCTCGATGGACCATTTGTGCTACAGGTTGTAGTCCCCTTATAATTCACTATTGGATGATTGGTTATGATTTTCTTTTCGAGTTGTGGATATCAGTACTGCTTTGGTGCCCCCCCTGGTGCAGCATAGTTATGCAATGTATATAGCATGGTTTTGCTCTGGTGGATACTTCAGGTTGGTGATGGCAATGTCTGCAATTTGCCTCCATATCTGAGCTTCTAATTTGAGATCCATCTGAAATAAGACGTTTATGTTGGAACCTAAACCTTTAGTTTACTTGCTTCACTTCAACTTAGTGACCGCGTCACAAAGGCGCAATTCCTTAGTCAGAACTTTGGAGTATCGTTCTTTGACACATGAAGGTGATTGCTGGCCGCATAGAATGGTTAATATTGTTGAGATTGCTGTACTAGTAAAGTGCAGGTTATGCATTTTGGTTCATCTAAGTTATCTGTTTAGTTCTCGGTCACCAGTGTGTCAGGAAAACAATCCTAAGCATCACGGGGTCCTTTTAACTTAACCCAATCGCATGCATCTTCAAGGTAGTACTGTAGTAGGACTGATGATCTCTTTCCTTCTTTCTTTGTAATGTGATATTATTCACATTTATATAATCAAAGTTGAGTCAGTACCAGATTGACCTTAACTTAAGGGCCCATGCTAGTCGGTAGAAGAGAAAGATTGCATTGCTTATATGGTTGGTCCAAATTATAAAGGTGTAGATTTGTCATGTGCAGATTCAGGACCGTTTCATGAATGTAACCATCTAACCAGCTCTGTGTTTCTTAGGTTGATGAAATTGCCAATATGTCTGCCCCTTTAAGGGAAAGATATCGTGATGCACATGCCGGCCCCAAACGATGTTTAAAGTTATCAATGACAGATGGCATCCAACGCATATATGGAATCGAATACAGGCCTATCAAAGACCTGGAAGTTCTTGCTCCTGCTGGTTTTAAGGTCATCTTTCAAAATTTGATCTGCTCATTTTTCTGAGAAGTTTGTCTTGCCTTACGATTTTATGTTCTTTTCTTAGCTTATACTAAAATGATGAATTTCCACAGAACGTGCTTACTTGTGTTAGGATGCATTTGGCATGGGAATATACTCTTCACATACTTGTGTTCATGGCAATAGTATCAGGCAGTAATAGGATAAAGTTAGAATATTATTTAAATAGGAAAGAGATAATATTGAAGATAGAAATCGAAGTAACTAATATGATGGTGCCTATGCTCCGGTACCATTTTGACTGTTTTGTGCAATTTTCATATAAAATCAATTCACATATTTACTTTTGTAGCAGTTGAATACATTCATCACCCTTAATGTTCCACCCAGCAATAACTAATATGTGGAGTACTACGCAATTACCTTCTCATGGGCTATTAAACATTTGAACTTACATCTGGATTGTAACATGAATGTCTACATTTTTAATCAAATACTCCCTCTGTTCCTAAATATAAGTCCTTTTAGAGATTTCAATACGGACTACACATATTTAGGAACGGAAAAGGACTTATATTTAGGAACGGAGGGAGTAGATGTGAAAGATAGGACCAGGCACTCCGCATGCATTCAGTAAGTTTTTTCTCTACTTCTGTGATACCATTTGTAAATGTTGGGAAACATAGAAGTATGGTGCTTACTCCATGTGTGGAGTGTTGGTTGGTGCTGGCAAAGATTGATTGCAGTGAAGAAAACTCAGAACTCAGTTGAGAAACCTGGCATTCTCTGAAACTCATTGGTCATACCATTGTCTGCATTTTTTAACTAGCATCCTCTTATATAGCGTTTTTTTCTTGAGACACCCTGTACACCGAAATGGCAGACGCACTCTTTATGTACGGGTATATCATATATATAAGTGATATATGATTACAAACAATATATCAGGTAAATGCCAATGAGTGTGCAGCATGAGATTATAAGACATATTTTTCCCTATCTTAATATTTGTACCAACAGCTTGTAACTTTCTTTACATATCTCAGATTGTTATAAGGAATGTGCACATAAAGAGAGGGCTTCTTATGTTAGTCCCTGAGGTTATTGAGATTCTTGGTGGGGTAGTTGATGAATTGGAAGCAGCACGTGTCAGACTTGTTTCTGAAGTAAATAAACCACCTCGTGGAAAAAGGTATGTACTGTCCTTGTCCATCAGTGAACACATTAGATCTACGCAGATGCCATTTCATTGCGAGGTATATTGCTTCACCTTGTATTTTAAGCAAGAACTCGACAGTTATTTATGGAAGTGTCCGGTGAATTAGATAATTTAAAATGCAAACACTTCAGCTGAGGATCTTTGGCTGCATCTCTTCTTGGTCAGCAAGAGTCGCAGCTCACAGCCACAATATCATTTTTGTATATTAAGTACTTAGCAAGCTTCATTTTCTTTCATTTTGTTTACATATCTTTCTATTATAACTCCCAATTTTGTAAACTGAATAATAAATGCTTATCCAATCAGCCACATGCCCTGTTCTTGCAGTTTTGCTATTCAATGTGTTCTGTTCGTCACATTTCTTTACAAGCTGCTAGTTGTTTGTTCATATCTTGGTATATTTATTGTTCTAGATTCCACATGTATGTTCATGTGTTCATGCTGCAGGAAACAAGGTGGATTACCTTTGTCCTCCAGAGCCACCCTAGCTGCCTGGCCACGTAATGTAAGCGCTGCAAATGGTGGTGAGCAAGGCATCTCAATTGCAAGAACAGTAAACCCCTCTCATCCAACAGGATTAGGTAATACTTCTATGTTTAAGTAGACTCATTTTTATTAGATGGAGTCGTAGATGTTAGAGAGGCAACTGAATTACTATGGATGATTATCTTCTTTGCCAGCAATGTGTAAGTAGACACATTTTTTTGTGTTATCATTTACTCCCTCCATTCCACAATGTAGTGCTTCCTCTATCCACGTGTTTCAACTTTGACCGTAAATTTAACTACCAAGACCGATTGCGGCGGGAGCAAAAATTATATCAGTGAATTTGTATTCGAAAGAAGTTTTCAATTATATAATTTTTTCTCCTGCCGCAGTTGGTCTCGTTGGTTAAATTTATGGTCAAAGTTGAACCTCGGGAAGCGCGGGCGCACTATATTTTGGAATGGAGGGAGTATCACCTTGATTTTGTGATCGATTTACCTGCAATTAATTACTCCTACCTGTGAGTCTATGCTGCTGAAAGAGACTGTATATTCTTTTACTTAAGTGGCGATACAGGTGACTGAATATGCTCCCTATCTGCTGTAGAACTCCATTATATTCAGACACTATGGCCTACTTATAATTGCTTAACTGCTTGTTGCAAATATTTTGTGCATGACCACAGTTGCCTTACCACACTTTCTTAGAGGTCCTCCTGTTGTATCGAAAATGTTTTCCTGCAATTCTGTCATTCTTGTGGCTCAATACTGTGTCAAAGAAAGTCGATTTGTCAAGCAAGTTGCCCTGTGTTTCAGTTTACATTGTTTAAGATCTTAACCTTCCAAGTATTTATTATATGATGTATTCATGCTTCATTGTTATTCAATTCACAGGTAATGGCTCTCAAGTTGGTAGAACTACACAAACAATGGAAGAAGAGCGTGTTAACCATCCTGTTGTAGTAAATGGTGTCCGAGCACAACGTCAACATTTCCAAGAAAACACTATGCAGGACCGATCTACTTCTCTTACTGGGAACAACGCAGAGGCTTCTGCACCTGCTACCTATAGACATGAACCCCAACAAAGCACTAGTAGAATTGCACGAACTTTGGTAGATGAATATGTTGACCATCCTATTGTGGCGAACAATGTTGACGAGCAAATACAACGTGTCCAAGAAATCACCATGCAGGACCAAGCTACTGCTTTTACTAGGAGCAGAGGAGAGCCTTCTACATCTACTCCTTGTGGTGGGTATGATTCCCAACAAAGGGCACATGACATTCATGCAACTGGTGCCAATGGTGCGGAGGCTGCACGGCCTTCAACTGTTGATGATAATACTGGTCAGATGGAACATCCAGTCATTCTAAGTGGTGAAAATGAAAAACCTTTCATATACATTTTCAACTTGATGGCACATTGGACCATAGAAAAGGATACAAGACCCTACATTCAAGGAAAAATTAAGGTTCATTTACTACTTAGTACCTTTTATTTGCAGATTTAGCTGTCCTTGACCTCCAGCCTTTTTGTCTACATTTTTTTACATAGAACTGTGTCCATTTCATATTTCATGTTTGATCAAAATGCTTTTCAACGAGTTCAAGACTGGCGGTAGATTTTCCTACATGTATATTTATTTTCTGTCATTTCCAGATTGGATTTTCTACTTGCAGATTTAGCTATCCTTTCAAACCTTTTGTCTACAAACTTTTACATAGAACTGTGTCCATTTCACATTGCTTGTTTGATCAAAATGTTTTTCCATGAGTTCAAGAGTGCTGGAAGATTTTCTTACATGTATATTTACTTTCAGTCATTTGTGCAAAATGCAAACGTTGATTGGTGACATAACTGCTACAGGGTTTGATTACCTCTGTCAAACGATTTCAATTTAGGAATCGCAGAGAGTACGAGCTTCTTGTGTGCATAGATGATGGAAGTCAAATTTCAGAGGCCTTTGTTGACTGTGCTGTGAGTATATCTGTTTTATTAATAGTTTCCTAGCATGTTTACTCAAGATCACAACCTTATCATAACACATTACACAGATTGTACGTAACATAATTGGCCACTCATGTGAGGAGGTTTCAACTGCCGTTTCTGATCCAACCTCAGAATCGTACATCGCTATGAAACAAATTCTGAGAGGATTTCAGCATTATTTGGAGAAATTTGAGGTCCCCCCTCCCTCTTTCCCTCTCATAATATTGATATGTATCTTTATTAATACCTTTGCCTTATGGTCCTTTCTTACTGGCGTGACTAATAATATTAGTTTCAATCGCCTGTGCATCTGTTGTCTGACTTATAGCTAGGACAAACAGGGCCCTCCTGATTAGTATGCTCTGGCAGATAGAAATAAAGTAAAATGTAAATAAAAATCTATTTGAGACTTTTGCAGACCATTTTACAATGTCAAGGGGATGGCAATGTCTTACACGCACAAGAGATTTTAGGTTGAATGTCTTATAAGTATGCTCCTAGTTTGACAACATTTACATTTCCAAGTCGAATGTCTTTTGTCACTTAATTAATAATGTGTCGATCAAATTTTCACCTGATATTTCATGGCATACTAAATGTATACTGTGTGAATGCTGTAAAAAATATAAATAAAAATTGTTAGCTTTTAAGCGATGAACCTTAAGTCTTAGTGCACCTAAGCCCCTTCGTGCGTCCAAGTCGGCCCCGGAGGGGAGTGAAATGCCACCGGAGATCCTTTTTGGCAACACTTTGGTCTACAAGCTGAATTTTGTGAGGCTTATAGCCTTCCAACTGTTTGAGCTTGCTTTAGATAAGCCTTAGTTATTTTGACAATTCCAGTCGATAAGCCCTTAAGCTAAATAAGCCCCATAACTTTTAAATCAAGTTAGGTTAAGCATGTTCAGATTAGTACATAGCAATTCAGCCTGCTAGTTGTGCTATATAATATCTGCGCACTTACCATTCATGTTTGTAGCTGGACTTCGGTTGATGTTTTAGAACTGTTGAAGTGTACTCCCTCCGTCCGGTGAAAAATGTACATATAGAAATTTTTGGACAAATTATGGAGTGGAGTAAAAAATGCATTGGAAATGTGCAAGCCATCAATTTTCTCCTCTTTAATTACCCATCCCCCAATGAACTAAGTGCATGTAAACATTAAGAAGACCATGTGTAGAATGTTATTGGTCTTGATTACCGTGTGATGAGAGAAACATTTTTTTCTACTTTAAAGTGCATTAGGAAGATAGAAGTACACTCTTTTATGGACAAATTTTAAATTCAAATGTACACTCTTCACCGGACGGAGGGAGTATATGTGGATTGCCTAGTCCTTTTCATCAGTTCGGACTTTTGATTGCGTTGGCTAGTGCATGAAGCTTAGCAAGAACATTTTGCTAGTGCTGCAGTTACCGCATAAGCCAATACTACTACTGTCATTTGGTCAGTTGCCTCTTCATATTGTACTGGTAGTAATTGCAGGTTTTCTTTGAAGCTATTCCTCTATATATATATTGGTGGCAAACACTTCAAATAGTGTGCTACTACCTTGTATTCATAATTAGGGAAGAAGTATGTTCAGACCTTTCAGCGCATGGACCATTTGGATTACTTTGAAAAATCCGAATTCATTTCATATGATTTTAGTTCCTCGTTTTTTATTTACAACATCTTAAATCTCGAAGGTGTGTATGTTTTCCCCCATCAATTGTAGGGTACAATGCATATTGAGTACAACGGACAATCTTCTCGACCTATCGTGCGTGAGATGAACGAAGGTTGTTCGACTGCTGATGCATGGCTCCTGCTTCAGAGGCTGAAAACGTGTACGGCTCAACGGCACATCCGAAATTTGGACTTTATGGATACCACTCCGTGATTATGGTCAGCCTTTTTGCTCGGTTAATGCAAAAGCTACATCGTCCTGATCTTGATATGCTAGGCTAGTAGGCTAAGTGCACTTGTGAAGTTTTCAGCTCTAGGCTTAAGCAGCACTCAGTTCCTCGTTTTACATCTTTGCTTCTGCTATAAAATGTGTTCATTATCTCTGATTCATGCAGTAGCTCTTGCATTATTTTTCATCTTCTAGCTCTTGCATTATTTTCCATCTTCTATACGTTGGGGGATTGGAACTAAGTAAAAAACAAAAACAGTTTGTTGTCACAAGGATAATAAAATATGTCAAATTATTGAAAAGACAATTCAAGAATTCACCTGGCCGTCAAGAATCCCTCTGTCCGAAAGAATGTACTTCTTCTGTTCCGAATTACTTGTAGTAGGTATGGATGTATCTAAATGTATTTTAGTTCTAGATATATCCATTTCTGTTACTTGTTATAGGTATGAATATATCTAGATGTATTTTAGTTCTAGATTCATCCATTTCTGCGGCGAGTAATTTGGAACGGAGGGAATAGAATGTTTTGTACTCCCTTTGTCCGAAATTAGTCGATGTTCAAATGAATGTATGTCGTACTGAAATAGTGATTAGGTCTAGGTTCCTGTAAATTGTTTGTGTTCGAACGTCCTTCCATGAGCTGGTTAGATCACCTCTCCCACCCCCACACACATATATGACAAGCCGCGGCAGAATTAATAAATTTGACCTTAAAGTGAAAGTATTTCACAAACTAAACTGTTTTTGAAAATATTTCACCGCTGACCCTTTTGTGCAGCTCCTAACAGTAAGACGCTGCACTCTACTGTGCAACTCCTTACAGTTAGGCACTGCACAGTGTAGTGCAGCTCCTTACAGCTAGGCGGTGCACAGTGTGGCGCCTGTGTGTTAGGCGCTGCACAATAAAAATGTAGCGCCTTGCTATTGGGCGCTGCACATTAAAGGTCAGCTGGGTGAAATACTTTCAAACATAGTTTAGTTTGTGAAATAGTTTCGTCTTGAGGTCAAATTTATGTTTTTTGCCTCAAATTCCCAATTCGGTAACTCAGAAGTGGAAGTTCCATGCACATTGCACCAAGTAGTGATGTCTTCTACGGTGTCCACTGGATTTCAGACGAAAAAAAAAAGTACTGTGATGTTCTTTTCCACTCTCAATTATTACGGACCATGGGACATACTAGTACACAAGCATGTTTTAGTTGGACAAAGCTTCATCTTACTACTACCAGACATCGTAGTGGGCTTCTTACATCACAACGGGCCGATCCAGCTACTTTCATCTGGCCTGAATCTCCGGCGACCGCAGCGAGGCCGTTTGGGTGAGCCAGCGCACCCCGGGCATGTCGAGGATCTGTCTTCCCACAGTGTCGGTCGTTGCAGGGCGCCCCAGCGTCTTCACGGTCAGGAGCCGCGAGCTCCAGGCCAAGATCTCCGGGAAGCAGACCCTAAACAGGTACACCGCCATGTACCACCTCGGCTCAAACACGTACCTCTGTCCCCGGCACACGTCCTTCACCGCCGTCTTTGCGAAAGCGGCGACAGGCTCCGCCGGTGTCGGCCCAAGGATCGCCTGCAATGATCACAATTATGGCTACATCAACAACATGAAATGATATGATGCTACCGCGGTCGAACGATAATATCGTGTGGCAACTCGTGTTACATCTCTTTCGTCTTGGTCAACTTTCATCTCGCCTTCCTTGGTGAGCATCTTCCCCTTTGTGATCTCTGACTCGACCACCCCTGGGACGATCTCTGTAATGCGGACTTCCCCACCGAGCTCCATCCGAAGCGTGTCGTAAAAATTTAGCGCTGCTGCTTTGCTCGCCTGCCATGCAAACAACAGTCATTTTGCATTAGCAACCACATTGTACCCGTGCATTTCAACTGTTTATATATGCTAGCAAGCAAGCGTGTAAGGGACTCGTCTGAGTAGAGACATTGTAGAAGGTGTTCCTTCCGATGAATATGTAGGAGGAGTTGGAGGTGACACCGACGATCCGGCCATGGGTTTTCTTCAGGTGAGGAATGGCATAGCGAGTTGGGTACACATGTCCCCAGAAGTTGATGTCCTACATGCGCAGAAAAAGGTCAAGTTAATTCGTGCCCTAAGTTTGTGTGAAGAACTGAAAACGGCATGTGGCTGTGTACCATAAGTGTTCTGAAGTAGTTCACGTCCTCCACCTCTTGGAACTTGCAGACCTGCCAAATCGACGCGTTGTTCACCAAGTGGTCCACTGCAAATATCAAGCGCGTCAAAAGACAGTTCCAGTTATCTGAATGCACACTTCTGTTTCAAGAAATTTCATGTATCGATATTTGGCTGCAGATTGTGGTGCCATATACGGATGCCATTCAGCTCAGACTTACATCTTCCAAAGTAGGCAACCGTGTCGTCGATGAACTTTCGGCAGTCATCGGGCTTGGAGACGTCAGCCGGCAAGACAAGGACGCTGGGCGAGCCGAGCGCGGACGCGTGGTCGGCGACCTCCCGGAGGCTCGCCTCCCTTCTGGCCACCAGCGCCAGGCTGGCTCCTCTCTTCGCGTACTCATACGCCAGGTGCTACACACACAAGCAAGAAGCTAGCTAAAATCTACCATATGTAAGAG